AAAACAGACCTAACAGTTCTACCCTGTATACCAATTACAAGTATCATAACAACAACGGATACTTGATGCACAAGAGGTGGATATCATGTCCCAGTGGCTTTGTAGAAAGCACTCCGGCGTTTGAAGCGATGGGTTCGAATAAGGTGGGAATGACATCAATCATTGTGGTGCAGGTACATCCATCTGATGAGTCTTAAATAGGATAAAGCGCGCATCCTGGATTCTTCTGCTGGTCACCAAGTTCGTTATAACACCATGATTACTCAACAGTATCGTGGAGTCCACATAAGATCCTATATGCCAACAGTAGCACTTGGAAATTACAAGTATCACAACAATATAAAATGTTTCTGATCAATTTAAACTTCAAATGACCTGAAAAGCATTTCGTTTTATTACTTTTCTAAGGTCAAAAATTCCATTCTGTTAATGATGAAGTTTGATGTTTCAGAATAGAGTAAATTGCTCTTTGATAAGCAGATTTGAGGAGAAAGAGCAGAGAAAAAAGTGTTTAAGTTAAAACAGGAGAAAAATTATAATAGTTGTGATGATGAGAAGATTGTTATCAGTTGACTGGATAAAATGGTCAGAATGGTTGAAATAATTCCTCATACATCTTATAAGCAGAGAGAGATCATCGAAACTGTTGTTGATGAACTTGATTATTTTTAAAGAAGAGGTGTGTTTCATTTTTACAACTCATGAAATACAATAGAAAAAGGATTTTGAGGGAGTTATGGAGATTTGGGAATATTTCAAGTTGTTATTCATCGTAGACTGACATCAGCTGAAGGAACAAAGGACAGCTGTTTCGTCCTAGTATGGGCTGACATAAGTTGGAAATATGGAGCATTGGATTCTGACTCAGTGGCTCAATGGTAACGTGCAGGCCACGGAACCTGAGGGTCGTGGGTTGGGTCCCTGGCGGGGTCGTGGCTTGGCACTGCTGAGGAGCCCCGTACTAGGACGAGACAGCTGTCCAGTGCTCCCAGGTTTCCTTTGTTCCTCCAGCTGATGTCAGTCTACGATGAATAACAACTTGAAATAGAAAAAGGGATAAGAATGAGAAAATTACGAATTGTTATTTGCCAACAGTGCAGTTCGCTTTGGTATTTCTTACAGTTGATTGATGTTTCTTTGCTGGTTAATTATCATGACAATGGGGATTCCAGTGAACACCAGTCAACTATGATAAAAGGTTATGATGTCTGACAAAAATATGTTGTCAACGAAAGAATAATAATGAGTCGTTAGGTGCCAGTTGAAATGATTAAATCTTTGGAAAGACGTAGCATTTCTACTTAGGTCAAATTTTTAGTAGTGGATCCGGATAATTTCAGCCTACACAACTAAACCCCTATTGTTCTTGATGACTAACTTAGACTGATCAATATGCTATAAAATGTATGGATAGTTTCTAAGTTTCTCACTGGATAGTAACTGGCACAGCTGCCTCACTAGCAGGCCAAGTTTACCATCGGAGCTATTAAAGCTTAAGTGACAGTAACTTGTGGTGTAGTGCATTTTAGTGTCAGATACTGTGGATCAGTCTGTAGGGAGTCATGAACCTAAGATCTTGCCCATGTTGGTATATACCACTAGCTTCGCGTCCAATGACTCCTTAAGCCGAATATATCATTTACTTATACAGTTTACATTCAGTACTTACAATGATTTTAAAAAATGTCAGGTGCTCTGCTAATAGCCTTTTTAACTTGAGAATGGAAATGTATATATCATTGTGAGTTGTTTGTGACTATTCATGCTATTCAGCAATATATTCCACATGTTTATTTAGCCAGTGAACTAGTTATGAGAATGACAGGAAAAAAAGTCAAAATGGGAAGTCGCCAATTTGCATACTATTAGTCAACAAAGATTAAAATAACTATGGGATAAAGCTGAGAGGGACATTGAGAGTGTGTGCTTGGCAGTTCCCTAACTTGCGCTCTAAGTACCCTTGTCAGAAGTATGAAGTTTTTTAGCTAGTACATTACAAGTGAAACACACACTTTAACGTAAGTCGATGTACAATTTGGCACAATCCGCATACAATGTCATTGGATGGCACTTATCCTTCCTTATTCATGATTTCAATAACTGCACAGATGAAAGTTTCCCATTAGGACCTCGGGATACTCATCTCGAGCACTGAGATTTTACTGGATAAGGGTATTTTAGGGAAGTGCTGAACAACTAGTTTTTACGACCCCCTAGTTGGACATGATAAATCAGTTGTTGTTTGATACAACTAAATGGTTTGTGTAGATTTATTTATTGATTTTAGGTTGGGATTCATCATGGACTGACATTAGTAGGAGGAATATTGGAAACCCTGGAGCACTGGATAGATGTTTCGTCCTGATAGGGGGCTCCTCAGTAGTGCACACCTATGACTCCGTTCCACCAGGGATCCAACATAAGATCTTCAGGTCCCGCGGCCAACAATTTACCATTGAGCCACTGGGTCAGAATCTCATAGTCCATGTTTCTCACGTCTGTCAGTTCACGATGTGATGAAACCTCCATCCAATGCCACTGCTGAGTAACTGTCCTCATGTTGGACTTACTTGAGCCCACTGGTCACGATTTCTCATTGGAATCACTTCTCAAAACTAGTCACCAAGGAGCAGTAGATTGATTCAATTTTGAGGTTTGTGGGAATTTATTAATTTCAGGTTGATATTTATCATAAACTGACATCAGTTGGTGGAACATTGGAAACCTGGGAGCACTAGGCAGCTGTTCTGTCTTAGTACGGGACTTGTAATTTCCTGTTGTTATTGAGGGACGAATTTCTCGACCTGTGTTGACAGATACGCTGCTACGCGGACGCCTCGATACTGCCGGATATTTATGATCCTCATCCTAGTAACAAGCGATGGAATACAGAGCTCGTGTTTCGTCCTATTTGAGACTCATCAGGTGGATGTAACTGCAGTGAGTGACATTGTTCATTCAGAGACTCCAACACCAAATAGTTACTCAGAGATTAATTGGTTCTTCCCTTCATAGAAAGGGAAAATTACAAGTATCTAAAACAGTACCTGATACCCATTGTACAAGAGGTGGCTCTCGTGCCTCAGTGGCCTCATGGATAGCACTTTGGTGCTTAAAGCGATGGGTGGTGCTTTCGAGTCCCATTGGAAACTACGTCACTCGCTGGGGTGTAGGTATAACTGGCTGATGAATCCCAAACTTGACGAAACGCACGTGAAGCTTAATTCCACTGCAAGTCAACAACATGAATACATGGTAAACCAATAAATGTTTTTATATGATTTTACTGTCTTTCCATTTAGTTCATGTACTCCTTATTTGTTATCACCATCACGTAGCTCAATCTCGCCTAGGTAACCAGTTCACTAGTTACTAGCCAGTCCTAAACAAGGATAAAGGGGGAAGGATGGGTATAGGGCTAGCAACCCTACCCCCACCTAGTGATACAAATCCAATTGCTAAACAAACTTCAAAGCACAAGAAAAACGTAAAAGATAGAAATGAACTTACTCCTCGCTGGAATCGGGAAGGTAAAGCCTTTGGGAAGCCAGTCAGCCGATGTGTCTTCTCTCTCTCGATGAAAGCAAAAGTAAACATGGAGACATGGAATGTCCGAACAATGCTTGAAGCTAGCTGGTGAGGCTGCCCAGATTGTAAAAGAGATGAGAAGTTATAGCATAGGAGTCCTGGGTTGGGAATCTGTGAGGAATCTACAGATGGAATGGAAGTGGACTCTGCAAATTGTCAACTGGAGAGGAGCCAATAATTTACTCCGATATTGTCACCCACATAACAACCACCAGCACAATGGTGGAGGCTGGTTGAAAAGACTGGAGAGAACGGAGTGCAATGGTGACGTGCTACTGAAGCCATTTATTCCACTAGGAACCCAAGGGACAAATGCTAATACCATTTACCTCATCTTTTGACTTTCAAACTGCACCTTATTTTGAAATTGTTTTTTTCCCTAGTTAATATTCCTTGATTTGTAGGACGTTGCAAGGCAATAAATAAAATAGTTGCATTCATCTTTCAAACATCCTAATTATCCTGAAAGTTCATTCTTTTCAAAGGTGAACGAGTTCTTTTCACCACTTTATTGAATAACCGCTTGTTAATTACAATTATTTTGGTTCTTTGGGATGAGTGTTAAGGTTGCTTGATTTCTGTTTGAAATTTTTCTAATTGAAGTATGTGGTAAAGACCATCAAGTTATAAGTGGAAACCATAGCCAAGCATTATATCAAGGTAAGATCTTTTGAAAAGTATACCTGCAACCCATGAAACGCATACACTTTGATGCACTAGATTATAAGCTACACATACTTAGCGACTGTTAGTGACGTAACATGGCTTCCAAACTCGGAAGGTACTGTAGGTTTCGATTTTATAGCCTACCAGCTGAAGGCTTCTGGTTTTTGACAGTGGTCATTGATGTCGCTTCCAATATATTTAGTTTTCAAAGTAATAGGTTTTCTGAAAGTGCGTGTATGTTTTTTTTCAGTTCGATACTTCGATGAATGAATTTGTCCTCTTACTAATTACATCGACACTTTTACTCTAGGATTTGCAACTGTCAACATTTTTCTGCCCACTGGTTAACAGATTGGCTTTTCTTCTGAGTGATAGTTGAGTCTACTATTGTGTCGTTGAAATCTCATTACAGTCTGAGGAATTTTATCAATACATGATTTCTTGATCTTCTCTAGTTAATCCATGTTTACCACTGTTTAAATTGATTGATATGAGAGGATATAGGCGTGCTACTACTTAGCCTCCTGTCATCGTCACCATCGCCTCCATCTTTTACGGCATCCAAGGGTTTAACTATCGACGATTCTCAGATAGAGTGGCTGTCCACTACTCTTTGGGTTTTTTATCCTCGTTTCATTAATATCATTCCGGGATGAAAACTAGACTGGAATCAATGAATCTCACATAAACCACTTAATTCATTATAGTATAGTTGTTTAGTTAACATCAATAAACAGTGAACTTACTTGAAAAAGAATATCAATAGAGTCAATCCAATCAACAAGAGAATATCCAATAAACCAAAGACAATTGCCAAGCATATAATATACGGTTGTTGTTGTTGCTGTTCGCGATTATTCAATCTATGACGATGATGACTAGCTCTGTCTGATCTATTCAGGTCATCCGTTGAATCTAGTTCATCAGTTGATGAGTAAAGGCTGAGTAGAAATAGTGAGAAGAGAGACATATGGAGGAAAGGAAGTAAATATATTGGTTTAGAAAAACAAAATAAGGAAAGTTGTGTGATGAAGGGAGAGTCACCTTACTTTTGTATGCATGTATGTATGTATGTATGTATGTATGTATGTATGTATGTATGTATGTATGTATGTATGTATGTATGTATGTATGTATGTATGTATGTATGTATGTATGTATGTATGTATGTATGTATGTATGTATGTATGTATGTATGTATGTATGTATGTATGTATGTATGTATGTATGTATGTATGTATGTATGTATGTATGTATGTATGTATGTATGTATGTAATTGAACTAAAATGATTATTTTATTTTAGCTTGGTTTATTGATGCAAAACATACCCACATGAATGACATGCTACTTATGAAGGGGACGAGTAATGCTTTCAAACATTTCAGTCATCTATACAGTATCAAACCAGATAGATGAAGACAGATTATCCCAGTTAAAACTTCATGTAATACGTCCCGCTGACTGATACAATTCTGTTCAAATCTCTGATATCTATCACCAACTGGTGCTAGCCATTGTCCAGCTGATCTAAAAGCACTTGAAACACTGCTGATAAGCTCGAATGCACACGAATGAAAGAATAGTTAGGTGTCTTAGTAACAAGTTGGTACTTTAACTGATCGATTTTAATGGTGTTTGAACCAGAAGGTATGAATCTCAATGCAGTACAAAAGTCTTTTAGTTTCCATCATTTAGATAAGTTTGTTAAATTCTGGCTATGTCAAATAATGCCATTAACAGATACCTTCAACTGGTCAGCGAGAACCACTGAGTGATTTCAACTACTTCTAGGTATCTGCATCGGCTAGCATTGATAAAATCCACCACATACAGTTACATTACTATCGTATATGATGAAATTCCTGGTGGTGTACAGGTCATAATCTGTGCTTTGAACATTTTGTTTTCAAGAGTAGGTCATGGTCTGTGAATCTTCTAAACGTGTACTTTCATTGCAGAGAAATGATGTGATCTTAGCCAACTGGAAATATTTACTCAGTACATTGAATACGAGTGATAATACTCTGGATAAGTTCAGCACTCTAGTCGAACCAAAAGAGTAGCAAGTAATGATATAGATTACCATGAACAACTGTGGAAAAATAATCATATGGAGTCTATATGTGGAAGAGCTCCACTGTGTGTATAGTCACCTTTAAAATATAAAAGTTGGTAGAGTTCTAGTTACATCAGTATAGATATTCGTGAGACTTTCTCACAGTTTCCATCCAGTCCTCACTTCCAGCCTCATCTGACTTCCCATAACATAACACGTTGAGGTGCACAGTGACTCGGCAAGCGCGACACATGTCCCAGCCATCTCAGTCAGCTAAGGTTGACAACCTCATCATTCGACTTGCCTGTCTTGCCGCCTAACACCCTTCGCCTAACCTCAACATTCCTCACATAGTGATCTGAACAAACACATGCAAAGCTACGAAGAGATTTGTGATCAAAACGGTCATCACATTGTGTCTTCTACTTTCAACGACCATGTCTCACAACGGAGAAGGGAGGTAATAGAAGAACACTGATAATCTTTGCATAAAGAATGTTCATTTTAAGGTAGTAATATTTTATTAGTAATGAATTCAATATTTTGTCTTAATATGTGAACAAGAATAATTGTAAAGACAAGTTTGAACATTTCATGAGTCAGCTGAAGTTGAGAATGTTAGCTATCAACAATAGGGGGGAAAATCATACTCTCTCTGAGACTGGGAACCGCTCCTTATTCAACCTTTATTAATTCTCCCATATATTAATTCACAAAATACCAATCAACACTGTTGTCGTAGCATTCAGATTGTCTTTGTACAATATGATCAGTTTATCAGTCAACGTTATTTAAAACAGTTTATTTACCAATCTATCAGTCTCTCTGTCATCTTGATTCTAATCAACTTGGATTAATGGTGAGAACTGGCCGAAAAGCAAGTGTAATGAAAGATAGAAAGTTGTGAATTTCCTTTTCATATAGTCTGGTAAAGCTGTCAGCGGTTAAAGTGATGTTGATAATTATTTAGTATTTTCGATAACTGTTTGGTGTTCGCCAAGATTTGGGGTTTGTTCTTTCACGTTTCATCACCGGGCCAGGTGACTTCATCAGCGCTTACTTTGTATGGAAATGAAGCATTTATAAGTTGTATGAATGTTTGTAAAAGACATTTACCGACCTTCAGCGTCATTGGCTTATGGATCTAAGTGACCTATCCTTCTTTCTTTATCACAGGTTGAACTTTATAATTGTTGTTATTGTTTGATCTACACTGCTAACCTGATGTCTGATTATTGATTTGCTTGACTGATTCACAGTTGAATAAATGTCCATATACTTATTAATTACCATTTGATTGAAGTACCATGATTCCAGGAAAACTCAACTTTTAGCTTGCTTGTGACATTCTCACGTTGTCCCAATCGATTTTGTGGTAGTATTCATCTAAGTGTATAGATATTACTGAGGAATATATTATGTCATTTGACTGGAAGTTAATGTTCATAAATTCTTTGACCTATTCGACTACTGTGTTGGCCAACATAGTGATGTTGACAGTAGTTGAACAACGTTCAGAAAAAATTCGTCTTTTAATTACACTGTCGAAGTTTGATATCTGTTGCAAACAGGTTCTAAAGTCTCGAAGTGAAAAGTATGTATTTTTTTTTTCTAGTTTTTAATGAAACTGTCAACTAGAATACACGGAAAGAGGAAAGGTAACTGTCAAATGCCTTGGGAACTGACATAAGGGCTATTCAACAAAGAATAATTGACAAATAAAGGCTACTTTTTAATCTATAACTGCCTCCTAATAATTAAATCAAAGTTCAGTCTGAGTCAACTTGCTTTTCTACTTACTTTGCAGTAGATTCAACTTGATCAACACCCCGAAGACAAGGTAGACATATTTTCCTCTTCGACTTTTTCATATTACTACTATTTCCACCACCGCCGCCACCACCATCTTCACCATAGGCATTTCTTACAGAAGATCCACAGTGAGTGGACGGTAATGGACAGTAACCTCCGTGTAATATATTCGAACTTCTCGGAACTGGTAATCTGATCGAGTGTTGTATATCTTGAATTGTACTAGCAGTCTCATGTTCTGTAGTCTGTTGATGATGTTGGTGCTGTTGGTGTTGAACGGGTAGACTAATCTTTGGTGGAGATAGTACAACAGTCTGACCATAACCACGTGACCATGGTTGATCTAAACTACCCATACTATCGAATAATGGATTTGTCAGATTTCTTGAGCCTTCACCAGTTCCAAGACGATTCAGTCTATTCATTGTCTCAGCTCTACGTGTTTCTGCAATACTTTCACTTGTCAACAGTTGACTACGGCTTTCTTCATCAGTATCAGTGTTTGGAAAGTATAATGATGTTGACCTAGCAGCATGACGTATTGCAGATATGCTTGAACGTCGTATATTGTCACCATTGAATGTGTTTAGTGTTCTATTTGCCGGTAATGTGTTCATCCCTACTTTTTGTCACTACTTTCTAAACAATTATCCTCAATGAAACCTGCAGAAATCAGAATAAATTATGGTATTTATTTTTTGAGGAATAAAAATTTTCACTTGGAAAAAGCTGTTTGCTTTATAAAATTGTTTGAACTGAGAAACTGTTTTTAGCTGAGATAAAATAACTACATCCTGGTTTACAGCTACCCAGTCAAATGCAATTCCAGATATCATTATGTAGGCTTAACCAACAGCCAATGAGGTTCCTACAACGACTTCCCTTGGTCATTTTCATATAAGTCAAACGAACGTGACTTTCAGAATGAAGCAAGCTCACCTATGTTCTGTTGTTCATGTTCAAATATAGGTAGCCCAAATTCAATAAAATTTAGTGAAATACTTTTGTACTTGAACGAAAAAGATGTATACATTGCGGGCTGAGAGGGAAGTTACTATGAAATAGGCCCAATTAAGCACAGAATTCCAGTAATACGAATGATAATGTTAACAAGGTAGTCTTCACTAAGAACTGATGTCAACTGAAGAACCGTTGAAAGCCTGTGAGCACTGGATATAAGCTGCTTCGTTCCGGTATGGGACTCCTCAGCAGTATATGCCTACGACCCCACTCCATCACAGACATAACTGTGGCCAAGGCAGAGGTAACTGTTTTACAAACCTTTTTTGCACACAAAAACTACGGTTGTTTAAAATAAATAGCAAACGTAATTAAGGCAGGATTTATTGAATTTCAGCAGGACTCCTCAGCTTTTTACTCTACATACATGATTTCATACACTGTTATGCAACAGAGGAATGACATCCACACATAATACATACATTGACTGAGGCATAGCAACATGGAGTGAATCATGTACTCGCGTCAAACAGAGCTAAGATTAGGTTGGAACGGGGTTATTATTATTATTAGTCCCTTGGGTTCCTAGTGGAACATAGGGCTTCAGTAGCACGTTTCCAGTGAACTCGCTTCTCTGAGATCTCTTCAACCTGGTCCCATGACAGCCCACAAGCTCTCGTTTCCTCCTCGCACGACCTCCTCCATGCCACCCTCACATCGGACGCCCAACTCGTCGCTTCCCATGGGGATTCCACCCGAGTACCTGGCCTGACGCGTGATGTCCTCAGTCGGCCTTCTCAGTGCATGCCCAATCCATCTCCACTTCCTCCTGCATATTTGTTGGGTGATAGGTTCTTGGTTGGTTCGTTCCCAGAGCACCTTGTTGCTTATTATTTCTGGCAATCCATCTGATCTTCAGTAGCGAGCCAGGATAGGCAGTTGTTGATGAATGTCTGTGGTTTATTGGAAATCCCTTTCGTGACGCGCCAAGTCTCTGAGCCATACAGAAGCACTGACTTGACGTTGGTGTTGAAAATCCGGATTGGAACGGGGTTACCGATTGATAATCAAAAATAAACAGACTAGGCATGACATTAGATATAGATTGTATTTGTGTAAGTCGCAGCGGGTTTGAAATCCAACGTATAGCGCAGGAGTCTAGTCCGAGCTTCTTCAGGGAAATAATCAGAATAGGGATGGATTACATCATTCCGGACAGAACAATTAGTAGTCAACTAAATAGCTTGATAAGGATGCACACTTAGAGAACATGGGTGTTACGCAAACAAAAATATTGATTATAATAGTGATTATATGCGTGAGAGGTAATAATGAAAATATGAACATTGAAAAGATTAGAAATTACGTCATTTTAAAACAAGGTAAATGAGCATCAATTAAGAAGCTTGGTAACAGTGTAAAACAAAAGGAGGCTAGAGTAATAGATGAACGATAGCAATGATAACATCGATGAAGATGAGTCATTTGACTGTTAAGCGGTGAAGTTCAAGAAGAAATGATGGTGCAGCAGAATAAGGTTAGTGAAGAGATGGATATGGTAAGTAGAGGAAGAAATAAAATGGGAAAACAAGACACCTCTACCATGGTAGATTCAGAGTGACTGCCATCTCTTTCTGTATACATGGACTCCATTTACGAACTCTAATCGCACAAGTTTTCATGATTGCAAGCATTGTCTTATTCTGGTGTCTGCTGACAACTGTGAAGGCCTTACTGGAGGCAACGTCATGTCGATAATTCATAAGGTGTTTCATAATCAAATTCAGTCGAATTTTTGATTCGACTTACCTTAACCACTTAGGTGAACGCTCAGTCATGCGAATAGACAGACGCCTTTCTGTACAACCTATTTATTTGTTTCCACAATAACATTCGAAGCGGTACACACAGTTTGATATGTAGAGGACTGGAGTCATGTATTTTTCTGATTACCGCATCACTCACCTGGTGGTGCTCAGAAGTACTAGCCTTGCTGCATAATAAGTTCTAATGTCATTGACTAGCCTTCGATTAACTACTTCTAAGACGTCATCTTGTTTAAACGGTGGCTTAATAAATACTGACTTTCTTTGAACTTTTGGAACTGCTGTTTTTCAGTGTCTACTTTTCGAATACTTATTGGTAAAGCCTCTGAAGCAGCCACTTTTAGCTAGGATATGGTTCAACGTTTTATTTCATAATCAATGGTACTGTCAGAGCAAATTTTCTTTGCTTTATCAAATAGGGTTTTGATCAAGTTCTTTTTAAATGGGATCTGAACAAAACTCTTTAAGGGAAGATATTGTCCAGACCGCGAAGGCTTTCTATAGATCCATCATTCCTTTTTACTAAGCTGCCGTCTAGGAAGTTGATGTGATCATTTTCTTCGTATTCAGCTGTAAAGTTGAGGCTTACATGACAAGCGTTAAAGTCCCTCAACAGAGTTTCCGTTTCCACTTTACATACAATAAAAATATGATCCACGTATTGCCAATACAGTTCCATCTGTTCTATCAAATTCTTAAGGTTACTAGCTTCCAGACTTGAGAGAAATATGTCAGTACTACGGTTGTTCTTTATGATTCCCATAGCCTCAGCTATATGTAATATGTGCGTATGAATTCCATTCAAAAGATTTTATAGAATGTGATAGCTGATTTCGAAGGCTGGTCTTATCTATCACATGACCACTATCGACCAAATGCAACAGAAATGAACTTTATGTTGTCTTCTCTAGTCCCTGTCCTAGCCATGAAGGCATAGATTCAGCAGAACGTTTGTTAAGCTGCCTAGCAGTACGTTCAATATAGCTGCCTTCTTAGGAGGAGCTGAAGTAATAAATACACCTATACGCGACAAAACTGTCTAAGCAACAATGATCTACCGACTAGAAAATGGTAAGCTAATAGTTAGCAGCATAGGAGGTTTTTCTGGTGGCTCTAGACAGTCTCTAAAATAGGAACTAATCAGCTGCGTACTCATTGGATCCAACCTTCATAAATAATGGCTTCTTTTTGAACGGTCACTTGTTCAGATTTCTTACTCATTTTGCTCACCTGTCTCTTTGTAAAACTAAGGAAGTAACTCACTTCTGCCAGCATATTATGAATGTATTCTAGCTCCTTTTATATTAAATCATTGGAGTAGATCCTTCTAACTCTATATCCAAGAAATTTAGCTTCATTTAGTTTATTTTATCACGGATGGTTAAAGGCCAAAGAAATGTATATACGGACCCGTTGATGTGGGTTTTTATAAACCTTACTGCTCCGTGAGCCAGCATCCTTTCTAATCAATGGAACATTTAAAGAATGTAGCATATGTTAGTTGGTTGGAGGTAATCGGCAAGAAGCCCTGGACCTAGGTCCCATGCTTTTCAGCACTCGTCAGCAAGGCGTATCTGCAACCTCGACGGGGCTGATGTCCCGCCTGAGGTTCGAACCCGCGTCACCCACCGTTGTACTCAACGGATTTACCACTGAGCTATTCGGGCCGCGACTGACTTACTGTAGGACTGGCTTATATGTATTGATTGGTCACGGAAGTGCAAGTGAAGATGAAATGGGGATACGGGTCATTAAATTTTCTTAACAATTAGTTTTTGCTAACGTTTTTATCAGGGATAATGAAAATGTTATCAATGTAACGTTTTTACGCAACCAGACTGTCGATGGCATCTGTCAGCATAACATTGTGTAGTTTAGCAACAGTTCATGCTAATTTCATCACTGTCAATAATATGTTTCATTGAAGAGTAAATTCTGATTGATGGTATATCGTAGGAGTAATGGTTTGAAATTAAACTCCAAAACTCCAATGAGTGGTACACTGGTGAATAAAGATGAAACATCCAGAGTTGTCATATGTTTTCCGTTCATATTTACCTTTTCTAACATGCAAAGGAAGTCGAGTACATCTTTAACCCTATTGTTTACAATGTTTTTGTATATCATACTGTCCTCCTTATTCTTACGATCACTAGGATGAATTATGGTAGATAATAATATGAAAAGAAGGAATCATACAGATATCTCAAGCTGGTAGTTACCAGGGTAATCTTAAATTTGTCATAGTTGGGCTTAAAATATTTAATGGGAATGAATTGCAATTGCAGAATTGAATGTATCTTTTGTAAATTTATCATATTAAAAGCTCTGGATACACCAAGATTGTGTCCTTAATCAGTCAAGTAGAGTAAAACTGAACTTGTTTGTAAAAGCGACCGTTTCAAACTCAGGCTCTTCGGAACCTGCTGTCTTAGTCCAATGTACTTCCTTTAGTAAGTACATATGTAGATACAGTTGGAGGTGATATTTTTCTCTTCCGAGAAGTGATTAAGGTAACTCTGTAAAAGAATGAGTTTCAGTTTCAGTTATAACGATAGTAGGCTGGTTGGCCTGTGTTAATCCTTGCAGAGGATATCTCTGTGAAGATCTAGTTTCTCCTTGAACGCGTTGACAGAAGGTGCTGATACTACTTGCTGAGGTAAGGAGTTTCAGTCGTTGACAACACGATGGGCGAAACGCAGATTCACGCTAAGTTGATTCGAACGCGGTTTTTGAATTTTCTTGTGATGCCCTCGGAGATAGTCAGGGGAGAAAAGATAGGACATATCAGTGCCGAAGTCATTATTAAGAATACGAAATGCCAGTATGAGATCACCCCCCGGTCTTCTACCGTAAGACAGTGGAAAAAAATCTAGC